TTTTTGGGGTGGTTCAGGGTTATTTTGGGGTGGTTTGGGGGTTTTTGGGGCTCACCTTCGCCGTGGGACACGCGGTTGGGGGGCAGCGGGCCCCGCACGTGGATGATGCCGCACCTGTTGGGCATCTCGTCCTCGTTGGGGTACTCGGAGGTGTTGTAGTAATCGACCGAGTGCACGATGCGCAGGTACAGCAGCAGCCGGTCCAGCACCTGCCACACCCAGGGGACGTTGGGGACATCGGGGACAGCCAGGGGACAGCCAGGGGACAGCCAGGGGACAGCCAGGGGACAGCCAGGGGACAGCCAGGGGACACGGACACGCTCGGGGTGGCGCAGGGGGGACGCGGCCCCACCTTGAGCAGCTTCTCGTCGCGCTCCACGGTGACCTCGGCCGGGTTGGCCTCGCGCGCCGCGTCCTCGGCCGGCGCCGCGCCCTGGCCCTGGCCCTGGCCCTGGGCCTGGCCCTGCCCCAGCAGCTCCTCCTCCTCCGCGCTCACCTCCTCGATCAGGTAATCGGTGATGTGCCGCAGCACCGGGTTCTGGGCCTGGGGACGGCGTTGGGGACATTGGGGACAGCACAGGTGACACTGGGGACACTGGGGATGTGCCGCAGCACCGGGTTCTGGGCCTGGGGACGGCGTTGGGGACGGCGTTGGGGACAGCGTTGGGGACACTGGGGACACCCTGCAGGACCCCTGGGGACACCCTGCAGGACCCCTGGGGACACCCTGCAGGACACTGGGGACACTGCAGGACCCCAGGGGACACCCTGCAGGACACTGGGGACACTGTGACACCATGGGGACACCCTGCAGGACACTGGGGACACCCTGCAGGACACTGGGGACACCCTGCAGGACACTGGGGACACTGGGGACACCCTGCAGGACACTGGGGACACCCTGCAGGACACTGGGGACACTGGGGACACCCTGCAGGACACCATGGGGACACCCTGCAGGACACTGGGGACACCATGGGGACAGCCTGCAGGACACTGGGGACACCCTGCAGGACACTGGGGACACCATGGGGACACCCTGCAGGACACTGGGGACACCCTGCAGGACACTGGGGACACTGTGACACCATGGGGACACCCTGCAGGACCCGGCCCCCCCCGGTGTCCCCCCCGGCTCACCCCGGGCTCCGCGGCGGGCGGGGGCTCGGGGTCCCCGGCGCTGTCCCCGCCGTCCCCGGGGGTCTCCGGCGCCGCGGCCGCGCCCGGGGGGCTCCAGAGCCGCGCCCGCGCGTCCAGGGCCTGCACCAGCCGCGCCGCCAGCTTGATGTCGTGGCGCACCACGGGCCGGTGCTGCGTCAGCCCCGACACGTTCCGCACGCGCCGCGTCAGGTCGCGGTTCACACCGGGGCTCAGCTCGCACTCCCGCAGCTGGGAACCCCAAAAACATCCCAAAATCACTCAGATTCACCCTAAAATCATCCCCAAATTCACCTCGAACACCAAAAACATCCCAAAATCACTCAGATTCACCCTAAAATCATCCCCAAATTCACCTCGAACCCCAAAAACATCCCAAAATCACTCAGATTCACCCCAATTTTCCCCAAAGCGCACCCGGATGTTCTGCAGGCTCCAGCAAATCTCCTTGATGTTCACGCTGCGGTCAAAGGTCACCCAGCCCCTCCTGAAGAACCTGAGAGGGGATAAAAACCCCTCTGTGAGCCCCAAAAACCCCAAAAAACCACCCAAAATCCCTCTCAAATTCCCCAGAACTCCCGAAAATCCCCCCAGAACTGCCCCAAATCCCCCAGAACTGCCCCAAATCCCCCAGAACTGCCCCAAATCCCCCAGAACTGCCCCCAAATCCCCCAGAACTGCCCCAAATCCCCCAGAACTGCCCCAAATCCCCCAGAACTGCCCCAAATCCCCCCTCACCTCCTCTCGGGCTGCGGCTCCGACAGCGCCACGCGCATGAAGCCGGGGTAGCGCTTGCAGAGCTGGGGGGGGGCACAGGGGGCGTTTCTGGGGGGGCTCTCGGGGGGCTCCCGGCCGCCCCCCCGGGCCCCCCCTCACTCACTCACCGCCACGATCTCGGCCTGCGCGATGTTGGGCGCGATGTTGCGCATGAACAGTGAGCACGTCTTGTGCAGCGGCCGCGGCTTCGGCTCGGGGGGACCCCCCGGGACCCCCCCCGGGACCCCCTCCTTGCCCTTCTGGGGTGGGGAGGGGGCGGCCGTGGTGGGAGGGGTCCCGGCCTCGTCCTGGGCGTGGCCTTTGTCCTCCTTGGGCTCCTCTGGACGGGGGGGGACACAGGCTGGGGTGAGAGGGGACAGCCCAAAAACACTGCAGAGACCCGCCCCAAAATCCCCAAAACCCCAATCCCCCCCAGAGACCCCAAACCCCCCCAAAACCCCAATCCCCCCCAGAGACCCCCAAACCCCCCCA